GTAGTGTAATTTATAGTAATCGGGATGGGCAAGGATTGATTTGCATACGGCTCAGTGCTATGATAGCCATGTGAAAATGTGCTTTAAAATTCCCCTGAGCCAAACCTATCTCCGTTAGTATGCGTTTTGAACCTTTCTAAGTTGATCTATGACGAAAAAATTTTTTCGATCAGCCAAAAATTTTCTAAGTGACAAGCCTAGCTTTATTTGACTCCGAAATCCGGGCAAGCGTAGTGTAATTTATAGTAATCGGGACGGGCAAGGATTTATTTGCATACGGCCCAGTGCTATGATAGCCATGTGAAAATGTGCTTTAAAATTTCCCAGAGACAAACCTATCTCCGTTAATATGCGTTTTGAACCTTTCTAAGTTGGTCTATGAGGAAAAAAATTTTTCGGTCAGCCAAAAATTTATTTGACTCAGAAATCCGGGCAACGGGCAAGCGTAGTGTAATTTATATTAATGGACGGGCAAGCGTAGTGTAGTTTATAGTAATCGGGACGGGCAAGGATTGATTTGCATACGGCCTAGTGCTATGATAGCCATGTGAAAATGTGCTTTAAAATTTCCCTGAGCCAGACCTATCTCCGTTAATATGCGTTTTGAACCTTTCTAAGTTGATCTATGACGAAAAAATTTTTTCGATCTGCCAAAAATTTTCTAAGTGACAAGCCTAGCTTTATTTGACTCCGAAATCCGGGCAAGCGTAGTGTAATTTATAGTAATCGGGACGGGCAAGGATTGATTTGCATACGGCCCAATGCTATGATAGCCATGTGAAAATGTGCTTTAAACTTTCCCTGAGCCTAACCTATCTCCGTTAATACGCGTTTTGAACCTTTCTAAGTTGATCTATGACGAAAAAATTTTTTCGATCAGCGAAAAATTTATTTGACTCAGAAATCCTGGCAACGGGCAAGCGTAGTGTAATTTATAGTAATCGGGATGGGCAAGGATTGATTTGAATACGGCTCAGTGCTATGATCGCCATGTGAAAATGTGCTTTAAAATTCCCCTGAGCCAAACCTATCTCCGTTAGTATGCGTTTTGAACCTTTCTAAGTTGGTCTATGACGAAAAAATTTTTTTCGGTCAGCCAAAAATTTATTTGACTCAGAAATCCGGGCAACGGGCAAGCGTAGTGTAATTTATATTAATGGACGGGCAAGCGTAGTGTAATTTATAGTAATCGGGATGGGTTAGGATTGATTTGCATACGGCTCAGTGCCTCTCTCCTCCGCAGAGGCTTTATCACCTTCCTTCGCCTTTCCCTTTGCCGCCTGCGCTCCTTCGCTCAGCGGCTACGCTCGTATTCCAAGATCCGCCATGTAACGTGTAGTGAAATGTATCTCATCGTAATTTTAAATCCTAGGAAAACTAAAGCCTCTGCGGAGGAGAGAGGCTCAGTGCTATGATAGCCATGAGAAAATGTGCTTTAAAATTTCCCTGAGCCAAACCTATCTCCGTTAATATGCGTTTTGAACCTTTCTAAGTTGATCTATGACGAAAAAATTTTTCTAAGTGTCAAGCCTAGCTTTATTTGACTCCGAAATCCGGGCAAGCGTAGTGTAATTTATAGTAATCGGGGCAAGGATTGATTTGCATACGGCTCAGTGCTAGTAGCCTTGTGAAAATGTGCTTTAAAATTCCCCTGAGCCAAACTTATCCGGTGATGTGGTGGATGGGAGGAAGGGGGCTCTGGGGGGCTGACCCCCTTAATTGTTAAAATTTCCTGTTGACTTGGAGGAGCTGAGCCCTCCCCCCCTGTTATTCATTATGGGTAATATGAGGATATTGAAGTGCAGTAATGGATCATGACCACTGAGCTGTATAATAACTGGAGGACCTGCTCCTATACTTCGTTCAGTCAACAAAGTGTGGCCAAAAACATGGCGGATTTTGAGTGAAAATGACGCCATTTCCATGACAACACTTCCGAAATTCTCATGGTAGGTACCACTGACCAGGCTCAATTCTGAGCCCACGGCCTTTTTCACACCCCCCTGGTTTTTGCAAAAAATTTTGCAGATATTATAGTTCTCGTGGTTTTGAATCGGTTTTTAAATTTTTTTCGATATAAATTTTCTACCTTTGATTATTTGGACAAAGATATGCAAGTCGTACATGTTATTCTCGCCCGTGAATAACGACAAACAAATTTAAAACCTCAAGAAATGTGGGAAAAGACGAGACTTGAATGTGGATTTACAAAGGGTAAGAGACAAATTTTCATTTGTATTTTTTAATATTTAGACTTTACCTTATTTGACTTGAAAATGATAAGCATAACGACGAAACAGACACTCTATTTGTTAATAAAAAAACTTCCTATGCAATACACATGGTAAAGTGTAAAATGTTCCACTATTTTACTAATTTTAACAAGCTGTACGGTTCACAATCGCAAAATATTTGGTTACAAACTACGAAGCTTTGATCGATATTCAGTCACATATACGAGGATTACGAACGAACTGTCTAGTGTAATAATGTTTAAAAGGTTGACTCCTGAGGTCTCGTTTTATAAACAGACATAAACCTCTTTTCCAGGATGGCCTGTTTTCTTACAAGTTTTCTCAGTGAAATATCACTCTGAATGAGCAATGTATCTTTATAATGCACCTATCAATGTTAAGCACCAGAGGGAGGGGGGTCGGGCATAGGTGGGGCAATCAAATGCCCCACCATCGCCGTTGGGCAATAAATATTGGTCAAATGCCCCACCATTTTGCAATAAATTGCAAGAAATACTATGTTAATAAAAGTCATTCGGTTCAAATTGCCCCCAATATGCTAATCAAAATCCCCAGGGTGGGGATACAATTGATGATCAAATACCCCACATATGCCCGACCCCCCCCCCTCCCTCTGGGAGTTAACATTGATAGGTGCATAAGTGCACTCATAGTTCTGATACCCCTGGTTTAAGCTAAGGAGTTAGGTCACATTCTTTTGTTTACCTTGCTCATATGCTAGTTATGTTACTGGTGGATTTTTGTACAACCTACATAATTAGTCTACTCTTGTTTATTGCAGATTTATCTCACAATGACACATTCCTTTCTGGATGGCAAGTTACAGTACCAAGCCACACATATCTTTGGAAACTGAACAAACTGTATTTTAACCCATTGAGTGGCATTGCACCCTGATGCACCCTACTTTAGTATTTTACTCTGTCTAACGCCAGACGATTTTACTCGTCAAGAGGAGAGCGCTGGCACTTAATGGGTTAACTGGCCTATCTGCCTATGTGTCTAGTTAACCCATTGAGTGGCATTGCACCCTGATGCACCCTACTTTAGTCGCCAGACGAGTTTACTCGTCAAGGAGAGAGCGCTGGCGCTTGATGGGTTAATACATGCTTCCAGAAATTATGTCACATTGGCTATATATAGAGTATCATTTTCACGTTTGAGACATTGGACTTTAACTCATGTCACGTACATGAAAATGAGGCTCCATGGCCAAGGTGAAATACATTCCGGAAGGGTGTATTTGACTTTTTTGACAAATAATTAGCAGTAAACAATTTAAAAAACAAAAATGTATAATTTTAATTGCTATAAAACTTATTTACACTTCAATAAAGTTATCATAATCATATATTTTTGCTGAATTGTGCATTGTGACTCATTTCAATACATCAAAATCATCCTGCTTCATATCTCGTCCTGGCAAAGTGGGATCTTATAAACAGCCCCTTATTCAGCAAATTGCGATGGTGCCATCCCTTGGGGGTGAGGCAGCACTTTCCTTGCGATAGTAACTTCTAGTCATATAATTATTTATGTTGTTATGCATGGTATTATAATTAACTAATTAATTTTGTCGTTCTGCATGTTTTTCTGCATGTTGAAGCCTCAGTGCCATCTCTTGTGTATATTAAACATATAATTTCTGCAAAATAAAAGATGACATTATTATCATGATACATTATACATCTTTAATACATCACAAAAATATCATATACACATATGTTAACCCTTCACAAGTGCCAAGTGGCAATGTGTCTTGATATGCCTTACTGTATTATTTTAATCTACCTAACAGACAATTTTACTAGTCAAGGGTGCGATTACATGATCTGTTTTTACCAAGACCATTGATCCGAGCTTCAAAATTAAATGTCATGTTTCAGTATTCAGCAATGCAATTACATTCCTAACTAAAATATGTCATCATCATAATTTCTCACAGGCTGTGTCATGGCCAATTGGACATCACTACTCCCAATGTTAGAAATCATGGGTGGTTTTACAGTTTTACTTGGGGGGGGGGGGTTAAACCCCTCTAATAGGGTGTTCAACCCCACCAAAATTCCCCTCCCGTTTTGTGTGAAAGGCTTTAACCCAAACACCTAACCCCTGCCAAAGCTCACTGAGTGGTGCTGCTTGCACCCGGCCACCAGAAATTCTTCTACCCCTCCTTTTAAATAGATGAAAATCTGCCCTTGTTAGCAATGTTGTAGCATTCCAAATTTACTTCATGATTAGTCTACTATTAGATCAGTGGTAGTGACTCACTTAAATTCTGGCAGCTTGTGGGTAACATTTTTGTTGCCAACAAGCTGTGTAAAACTATATAGTAGTTTTACATAGTTCTAAACAGGCAATGGTGCAAAATGATATCTATTTTTAAGACTCTTCCCTTGATGAGTAAAACATCTGGATTTAATCTCACAGATTGAGTAAAATAAGAAGGTAGCCAGGGTTCATTGCAGTTTAATATTGGGCTGACTATATATCTCAGGGGCTGTTTATTTGCCGATAGTGTAATTAACCCACTGTGTGACAGCAGGGAGCAGTCTCAATTAGTCTCAATCCCCTTAAGATCGTCTGGCATTAGACAGAATAAAATAATAAAGACAGTCTTTAGGGCTCATTGATCAGGAC